CCTCCCAAAACCATATATATTTCTGAAAATACAACAAATACAACTATTCCTAGAAGAGAGACCAGTGGGTACAGTACAACAGCCAGGCTACATCTACATCTGCAAGAACTCAGCATCTCATGAAGGGGGTAAGATACAAAGCCACAACCTGGCGGGACCTGAGTTCTCTCCCCACCCAGCTCCCTGGTGGGAGGAGAGGAGTCGGAGCAGGGAGGGAGTGGGAGCCCAGGACTGCTAAATACCCAGCCCTAGTAATCCGCACTGGGAGGCAGACACAAATTGCATGGTGTGCTCGATATTAGAGAAACGGAAAAGCAGAATCTGTGAGCAGGTCCCCGCAGCTGGCTCCCCTGGGACAAAAGTAAAGTGAGTGCTTTTTGAAAGACTTAAAGGAACAGGGGCCTCACAGCTGGACCAAATCATCCTGGCACACTCAACCCAGCAGGCTAGGAACCCTGAGGAACTTCAGACACCCCAGCCCCCTGGGTGGCAACGCAGCCCTGAAGCTCCTCACAGTGATAAGCAGCTGGCATGGCCCCATCACAGTGGCTGAGCAGCCAGAGAGTGGCTGCACCACAGCAGCTGCCCAGAGTCTCCTCCCAGCGTGCAGCCACCTGGGCCAGACCCAGTGGCCACCGCCAATGCGCAGCTGCCTGGCGCAGGCAAAGGAAGCCAGGACAAGGTGCAAAGGGGCTCCGTTCTTGCAGGAGAGCACACCCTGCATCCTTGCCACTCCCTGCAGGGCTCTGGGCTGCCCCAATGGCAGCCCCACCCATGGCAGCTCAGGGGATTAACCTGGAGGCTGCTCTAGGTGTGCGGGTAATTGACACAGGCAGTAGAGAAGGGCAAAGTGACCAGCAAGCAGGAAGGGACTTTGTTCTCCCAGCTGACACACATGCTACCTGCCTACAACTACCTCTATCGCCATGAAAAGGCAGAAGAATATGGTCAGGTCAAGAATTACCCAGACAACCCCCAAGAGAGGGCCTGGGGAGACAGTTTTAACTAATCTTCCTGAAAAAGGATTCAAAATAAAGGTCGTAACCATGCTGATGGACCTGCAGAGAAGTATGCAAGAGCTAAGGGATGAAGTCAGGAGGGAGAATACAGAAATAAAATAATCTCTGGAAGGACTTAAGAGCAGACTGGATGAGGTGCAAGAGACCACTAATGGAATAGAAATTGGAGAACAGGAACACAGAGCAGCTGAGGCAGAGAGAGATAAAAGAATCTCCAGGAATGAAAGAATATTAAGAGAACTGTGTGAACAATCCAAACTGAACAATATTTGCATTATAGGAGTACCAGAAGAAGAAGAGAGAGAAAAAGTGATAGAAAGTGTCTTTGAAGAAAGAATTGCTGAAAACTTCCCCAAACTGGGGGAGGAAATAGTGTCTCAGACCATGGAAGCCCACAGATATCCCAACACAAGGGACCCAAGGAGGCCAACACCAAGACATATAATAATTAAAATGGCAAAGATCAAAGACAAGGACAGAGTATTAAAGGCAGCCAGAGGGAGAAAAAAGGTCACCTACAAAGGAAAACCCATCAGGCTATCATCAGACTTCTCAATAGAAACCTTACAGGCCAGAAGAGAGTGGCATGATAGATTTAGTGCAATGAAACAGAAGGGCCTTGAACCAAGAATACTGTATCCAGCACGATTATCATTTAAATTTGAAGGAGGGATTAAACAATTCCCAGACAAGCAAAAGTTGAGGGGATTTGCCTCCCACAAACCACCTCTACAGGATATTTTAAAGGGACTGCTCTAGATGGAAGCACTCCTAAGGCTAAATGGATGTCACCAGAGAAAATAAAATCACAGGAAAGAAAGCAGACCAACCAAATACTAACTAAAGGCAAAAAATAAAATCAACAATTTACAAAAGCAGTCAAAGGAAACACAAAAAAGTACAGAATAAAACACCTAACATATAAAGAATGGAAGAGGAGAAATAATAAGGGAGAGAAATAAAGAAGCACCAGACTGTGTTTATAATAGCTTAATAAGAGAGTTAAGTTAGACAGTTAGATGGTAAAGAAGCTACCCTTGAACCTTTGGTAACCATGAATCTAAAGCCTGCAATGGCAATAAGTACATATCTTTCAATAATCACCCTAAATGTAAATGGACTGAATGCACCAATCAAAAGACACAGAGTAATAGAATGGATAAAAAAGCAAGACCCATCTATATACTGCTTACAGGAGACTCACCTCAAACCCAAAGACATACACAGACTAAAAGTCAAGGGATGGAAAAAGGTATTTCATGCAAACAATAGGGAGAAAAAAGCAGGTATTGCAGTACTTGTATCAGACAAAATAGACTTCAAAACAAAGAAAGTAACAAGAGATAAAGGACATTACATAATGTTAAAGGGGTCAGTCCAACAAGAGGATCTAACCATTATAAACATATATGCACCCAATACAGGAGCACCAACATACATGAAACAAATACTAACAGAATTAAAGGAGGAAATAGAATGCAATGCATTCGTTCTAGGAGACTTCAACACACCACTCACTCCAGAGGACAGATCCAGCAGACAGAAAATAAGTAAGGACACAGAGGCACTGAATAACACACTAGAACAGATGGACCTAACAGACATCTACAGAACTCTACACCCAAAAGCAGCAGGATACACATTCTTCTCAAGTGCACATGGAACATTTTTCAGAATAGATCACATACTAGGCCTCAAAAAGAGCCTCAGTAAATTCAAAAAGATTGAAATCCTACCAACTAACTTCTCAGATCACAAAGGTATAAAACTAGAAATAAATTGAACAAAGAAAACAAAAAGGTTCACAAACACATGGAGGCTTAACAACATGCTCCTAAATAAGCAATGGATCAATGACCAAATTAAAATAGAGATCAAGCAATATATGGAGACAAATGACAACAGCACAAAGCCCCAACTTCTGTGGGAACAGCGAAGGCAGTTCTAGGAGGAAAGTATATAGCAATCCAGGCCTATTTAAAGAAGGAAGAATAATCCCAAATGAATAGTCTAAAGTCACAGTTATTGAAACTGGAAAAGGAAGAACAAATGAGGCCCAAAGTCAGTAGAAGAAGGGACATAATAAAGATCAGAGAAGAAATAAATAAAATTGAGAAGAATAAAACAATAGCAAAAATCAATGAAACCAAGAGCTGGTTCTTTGAGAAAATAAACAAAATAGATAAGCCTCTAGACAGACTTATTAAGAGAAAAAGAGAATCTACACACATAAACAGCATCTTACTACGCTGATGGACAGTGACTGTAATGGGGTATGTGGGGGGAACTTGGTGATAGGGGGAGTCTAGTAAACATAATGTTCCTCATATAAATGTAGATTAATGATACCAAAATTTAAAAAAAAGCAAAAAAAAAGCAAACAGAAAACCTAAGTAACTTATGTGTGAATTTGTGGGTATAGACACACATACATGAACAGAACAATTTGGAGCACCTTTGACACACACATACACACATGTACATGCAGACCCACACAGCAGTGGAGAGTTTTAACCTCATGCTTTCTTTTGTTTTCTTAACACTCCTAAAAGGGTGTAAATAATAGAAAGTCAGAACTAGATGAGACCTGAGCAATTACCTAATCAGATCCCTTCACGCAAATGTAGAAATTGATGCACTAGAGGGAAAATAAACCGCAAAGGTCACACAAGGAGAGTAAGTTTAAGAATCTGAGTTTCTGACTCACAGGTTTGTTTTAGTGTCACCATTCTGCCATATCCATTTTACACATGGGGTAACCAAAGCATCCTAAGGATGTTGGTCATCAAGCTCCTGTTACTTGTCCATTGAAGCAGGACTTGGAATCAGATCTCTTTTATTTTAAATACGAGGCTTATTTTCATTCAAGTACATCTGTCTGGATGCCCAGAAGGAAGACCCCTACTATTGAACAAAATAGTGGGCTGAGGATAGTTTACAGAAAGCTTTGTCCTTCACTTTTTATATAAAAGAAAATGTTCAAAGCTACCTTATTTCAGAAGCCTGGCAGTCCTAAGGAGGAGCCATGAAGACAGGGATTCTGTCTGTCTTCCCTACTGAATCCACAATATGTAGCACAAAGGAAGGCACTCAAAAAATATTTGTTGAATATAGGATGTAAAAAGGCAGGAAGGGAGAGTAAGTTGGGTAATGGCTTCCCAGTAGATGATGGACGGATAATCATTATTAGCGCTGAAAAAGTGGAATGAATGCAGGGAAGGGGTGGGAGAAGTCCTTAAACAAAGGAGATCTGTCCCTTTACCTAACTGAAGCTGCGGTCACTCAGCAAGGGCTGAGTGGCTTGGTAGGAGTGTGATCAGCAGATACATTTAAATGAGGCCTCCCTAAAACTGTTACTCTCCGCCTCACCCCCTTCCCCTTTAAATTTTGTTTCAGTCATGACCCAGGGACCGGATACAGAGATTGCTATGGGGAGTTCCCATGGGTCGATTCCCTTTCAACTGCATGACGCCACTTAGCTAAGCATTAAGAGGTGCAGCTGCGGGAAAGCAAAGGGCACAGAGAGAGGGAGAGAAAGAAATTGCAACAAGGAATGGTAAATCCCTTCCCTCTTAGCCTCCCCTATAACCCATTCACAAGACCTCCAGAAATCATCTGCATTCACAAAACAGCCAGCTAAAGTGAGCTGAACACACTACAATGTCACCCCCGCCCCTCTCTCTGCGGATTATACACCAACACGCCCTGAGCTATATAAATAATCACACACTAGCAGTTACCGGTTGCTCTGCTGAGATGCCCTGTGTCTGCAACTGCAGTTTCTGCTGCTTCAGTTCATCGGTCAGATTGGAAGAGACAAGGGGAGGTGGAGGCGGAGGCAAAAGCGAAGCAGTGGGAGGAGGTAAAAGAGGAGGAAGCGGAGGAGGGAAGAGGGAGGAGAAGAGGAGGGGAAGGAAAACGCTGGAGGAGGGAGAGGAGGAGGAGAAAGAGGCGGAGGAGGAGGGGGAGGAGAAATAGGAGGAGGCGAACAACTTACCCTGCGGAGGTTTCTTTGGGGAATACGTGCATCAAGATTTAGATCTGCCTGTAAAATCTATACAAAGTATCTACCTCTACCGGTCTGAGCCTCCAGCCCTCCACCACCGTTTTTTTTCCCTTCCGTTCCGTTTTCTCTGCTGTGTCAGAAAGACCGCGACAGAACTATCTCTGCTTCTCGTTCCACTACCAGTGAAGGAGTTTTCATTCAGACTTTCCGAAGACAGGTAGAGAAACCCAGACTCAGGAAAAGAAGAGGTCCTTTGAGGCAGATGTGGCATTAGTTCTGCTTTCTTCAGCATGGATAAACCCTTTTCTCAAGGTAAGCCTTAGAGATTAGCTCTTAAAGTCTCCAAAATTCTTTCTATGCAATGTACAGATTACCATTCATTCCAGCTATCCTGAGTGTGTGTGTGTGTGTGTGTGTGTGTGTGCGCGCGCGCGCGCGTCCGCGTGTCTGTGTGCGCGCATAAGCGCAAGCGCGTGGGTAAAATAAAATGAAAACCATTTAAATGAGATTTAAATGAATCAGCTCTTACAGAAAACTTCCCGTATTGGAAATTTATAAATCAAAATGGGACTTCAAAATAACCCTTTTGTAGCCAAATGTCAATTAATTTCTATCCTGTTGCCCTTTAAATGCGTTTTGATGCTTGCCTGAGCCCCTTACAGCTCAGCCTAACCACCCAAGCTAATGCCAGTCTGGCTGTCCAGCCGGCATCCTGTCAGCGTGAGGCTAGTGTGCTATTGGCTCACAAGTCTGGGCTGTGCATCGTTCAGATTTCATCACATCACCTTGCCCTGGGTAGAAATGGCGCAAGCTGACACGGCATAACCCCCTGCTTACATTGAGTCAGAGCAATGATTTAGAAATCTCTGGATCCATGCCTGGGTGTGTGCGCACATGTTTCTGTGTGGCATATGGAAATTTTGTCAAAATAAGAACTTATGAGCATTTCTTGTTAGCCAATAGGCATTTGAGAGGACCAAGGGCAGTGGTTTACAAACACTCCCTTCCATTCCTTTAGCTTATAGTTATCACTCACCTCTGTATGCTGCAAACCAGGCAGGATGAACATAAAACAGACCTTCAACTCTTAAACAGAAAATCTATTTTGAAATGCAAACTATTGTTGCTACTGTGGGTATATATTAAAACCTCACTATAACATAATGTGTTATCACATGAATTTGGATGTACCAGGTGTTAAATCATGTTCCCAAAAAGTCCGCTGCATACATACATACATACAAATAAAGCACAGCCTAGCAGTTTATCTACAAAGAAGTATTAGTTTTGTTCCCTGTACCTCAAAATAAACATTTACTAGGACTTTAATTGCAACAGTGTATATACATTTTGTCTTTTTGTGTGTTCTGTTTTCAGGTGTTTCTAGTTGTGAAACATTCTAGAGTGATCTGAGTGACTTGAATTTGGAGGAATTTTATTCAGTTAAGAAGTGAGGAAGTAAAAATCCAGAAGTAAGGAGACTAATTCATCAGAGATTTTTTGAAACAGAAAAATTGAACCAATAAACCCAGCATACAAAATTGAGAGCATCAGGACAAAAATAGGCTTTAAAAATCCTTCTTTCATACCCCTCATTTTACAGATGAGGTTCAGAAGAGAAGCCACTTTCCCACAGTCATACAACAAAGTAGAAGTAGAGTTAGGACTAAACCTTAAGTTTCTTGTCTCTTATAAAATGCTTTGGGGTTTAAAGAACAATTCTTACTTCTCAAATGCACAATCAGAATTTTCTTCAAGATTAGAAGTATGTGAATTCATTTTATAGTGCAGCTTCTCCCTGTATCTCTCATTGCCAGAACACCTATATCATTAAAAATGCAAGGTCTTAAAACTGCAAGCCTCCCTGGTTTAAAATAAACTGCTATGAGTTTTAATGAAACTATTAAAGTAATAAATAGGACTAGGGTAGCAAAGTGACAACTTAAGAGTTAAATGTGGTGAGAACCTGGCAGCTCCAGCAAGATGTATGCGGTAAGAGGGAGGCCCAGGCAGTGGCCTAGAGGTTAGTAATGTAAACTATATACAACTTGGTATTTGTAAGGGGGCAGTGCTTTGATAGAGATGCAAATGCTTTTGCACAGAGAGGGATTTTTAGAGAGCAGACTCTGGAAAAGTAGAACTAAGAAAACATATAAAGCCAAAAGCAGAAACTCCCCCTATGTTTGCTTTCAGTTATTCTGAGAATGAGTGTATGTAACAGCAGAGTACAGAATAAAGCAACACAACCCAGAGCTGTTACACAGTAAGGTACAAAACAGCATAGAACTTGTAGAAGTTGGAGAAAACAGGAGCTGGGCTCTCCTTTTCTTTCCCCTTTTTGAAATCAAGATTGAGTCTTGTTGTATCAGAAAGGATTTATTATAGAAATCAGAGTTTTAGCTTAAGGTGTTAGCATAGAAGGGCTTCAGAAAGGAAAGTTCCAACTTTATTATCAACATGACAGATTTTAGGCTCCATGGAGGGCATACATTTTTCTTTCATTAACAAATAGCATTTCTTGAATGGAGATGATGATAGCTTTGTAGTCCCTAAATTGGCATAAGAAAATAAATCTCTGTTTAGGTTGAACAAAACAAGTTCAGGGGTACAGAAAAACTGTTGAGAAAGCTTTGAGCACCTGGCCAGAGAGACCGACATGGGGGTGCATTTACAATGCATCGTTCATTACTGTAGAGGCACTGTGTGACAGAAATCCCTAGATCCCATCGATGCACAGCCAAGAGTTGTAATCACCTTGGATCCTATTTAATGATATGTGATATGCATATTCTCTCTCATTTAATAGAATATGGGGTTGATGAAAAGAACACAGTTTCTTAAATGTTTCTGCTCACTATGAATGGCCCTTTAATGCATGGATTTCTAAATCATAATCATGCATGCAGTAATAGTTTTTCATCTGATGTATGTGCTACAGCAGTCTGTTTCCTATTTGCTTCTCAACTGTTTTTCCCTCTTACCTTCCCTTACAGTATCCATTTCAGTTCATACTGTTAGCCAGATCGGGTTTAGCACTACCAGAATGGCAAACAATTTATTGTCATTCAATCCTGTTTTATCCTAATCGACACCTTGATTTTACCCAGGTCCTTGTGCTTACCATATTGCAGATCTTCCACGATCCATTCTAATAAAAGAAACCTCCTGAGTTTATGAGGTGACCCTTACCCGTAAGCATCCCAGACTGGTGCCCAAAGCTTCCTTTAATCATGCAACCAAGGATCTCAACTCCTCAGTCTTGCATAGTAATATCTAATTAATATCCAAATATACCTCTCACCTGAGCACCATATGCCCTTCTGCTGCCAAGATAGTATCTCCTTTTAACATTGTTCTAAGTCATTTCTATTATGACCTAGTTTGTTCCAAGCTTAGGTTTATAACCCTCTGGGCATGTCCCTGAGATACGTCGTGTCACCCTTGGGATTCCATATGATTACCTCCTGTAACTTTAAGACTTTGTTGCCTTCCTTCGAGTCATTGATTCTTATAATCTCCAATATGCTTTCAATCTAGTTTCCTTTGGGAAAGTAGTGAGTCTAACATGCATCAAGTGTGTAGTTCTTGTAGTGTGAAGGATTTGAAGGGTCGCAGACCTTATTCATTTGATCAATGGGAAATAAATCCATTTCTTATTACTTTGTCAAAAGTCTCTTCCCGATCTAAAGCTCCTACATCCACATACCCTGCAAGTCAACCAAGCAGTGTCCTTGTTTATTTGGGTGTTCAAATGAAAAATACTTGTTCTTTTCCAATGGTAAGATTATGAATCTTAATAAAGGTATGGGAAAGTTAGAGGTGGGAACCTGCAGAAAGCTGTGAGTCCAAGTAAATAAAAGAGACATCATTTTGCTTTTGAGTGCCCATATAAGGACATGATGCACTGTTTACTCTCAAAGACTACAATACTGAAGGTGTGGATGAAAAGAATTATTATGTCCAATGGTGTAGTTACAGAATTACAGACAATAATGGGGTAGAGTTCTTCAAAATCAGCTAGTTCACCCTTGTAATTATATACATAGTGAAACTGAGGCCCAAACAAGCAAGGGATTTGACACACTTTACATAGATATTTCAGTGTTAGAATATCCACAGCATTTATGTGAGTTCTCTTGTGCTGCATTAAATGACATCAAAACAACAAGCTAAAAAGTGAAATCATAGTCACACTGGTTCTCTGAGATGATGTGCCAAAAGTTATTTTTAACCAAATTAAATGAACAGATGTAATTCAAATAAACTTTTTTGCATGGGGATATAGCCTAAAAAGTCAATGAGTCTGGTCACATTATTATTAGCCACTGAGTCCTTTATGAACTGTGTCCTTATTTTTCCTGTTATTGAGCTTTGGGAACATTTCAGTGTGGTGTTTGCTTGCTTTGGGAAATGTTATCAAGCACTGTCCTCTCTCACTTGTTCATTTCTATTATGCAAGCTTTACATCCCATACAGTAATGTGAGTGATCAATCTATTTTGAGAAGGCCTGAAATCTGATGGATTTCAAATATAAACTTTATTCATGCTAGTGTTTCCTAGGTCCTAATGCCTCCAGGATGACTCTGGGATTTGTATGTAGGTTTTCTTGTGTATGTCTTTTTGGCTCAACCAAAACCTTCAGGGAAAGACTACCAACTCTTCCTGATTGTGGTAGACACAAACATATGTTTTCTAGATATTCAATATATCTTAAATTTGATATAAGAACATTGTTACCCTTTAAAGAACTCCAATTTATTGTGTAAATAAAAGGTAGAGAAAAGCAGTCCAAGCAGATTCTGCATAGTAAATCCTATCAGTGTAGACTTAACTTAAGATGGGAGGTGACAGGTACAGTTACAGGTGATATTTGAAATAACACAGGGCTCATCTTCTATGGTTTCCCCATTCCCAGTGTTACTGCCATACATATACAAGTTTGATACTGGAGCCATACTGCCATGTAGAAAGAATTGCCTCCTCAGTAAGATAAAGCATCCTATGAGGTGAGAAAAACTTCAAGATGATTAGTGTTGGCTTTCTTATACTCTTGGGGGCCTTTTCCTATTATTCTACAAAATTTTGCTCTCTGTGTCTCTGCTGTATGTCTGCCTTTACTACATTTGGGTTGCTTGCCTATATTCATTGAATCAAGCGATTCTTTTCTTACCTGTTTATTTATGCTTCTCACAAATATTTCTCATGGAAGACTTTTGAAGCTTTCTCTTTTACATTAGCATTGCTTCAGGAAGTGGCCTAAAATTAGGTTCCATTTTTATTAGAATTTTGATGCCCAAGGCCTGCATTTCTTTTCTAGCAAATATTTGAATGAGCTAGCTGCTCCCATATCCCTAGTCATATGACAGAATGCAAAAGGAATGAATGAGCTCTTTGCTCCCAAAGTGCTTTACACTTTGGATAGTATGACCAGACTTGCCTACATAGAGGTAGTGCTGGTGATAGGGCCCAAGCTTTCTTGTTTCCCTGCAATGTACTCATAACTGTCTGTTCTCATTTATTATTTCTATTCCTTCTCTCCTGGGATTTTCTGATGTGCCCTAACGTCCATGTAACTACAAGGGCTCTTTTTCACCATAAGTGCCACCCTGACCCAAAACCACTCAGAACTCAAGAACCAAGGCAAAATGGATGCCACAGTGATGGATGATTTCCAACAAATTTTGTGTATTAAATAGCTGCGGTCTACTCATGCTAGCAATGATTATGTGGAACGGCCTTCAGCCCCCTGTAATCACGCCCTCTCCAGCCCTTCCCTTATCGTGCAAACCCACAAAACTGAGTTGTCCCTGGCTACCATGCCTACTTCCCTTCCCTGCGGTTGCAGCCTGTGCCATCAATTGCAGCCCTTGCCTCAGCATCTCAGCCAGTCTAGCATTGCCAGCTCAGTATCCCATAGCACCACTGCCTGTGATCAAAGGCTTTTGGCCAGCATTACTCCCTCACCTTCAGGCCAGTCCATCATTCAAACCCAGCCTGGATCAGGGGCCCACTTAATGGCTGATGGTGCTGTGAAGGGAGAAACTGAGCAATCTGCAGTGCACCCCAGTGAGCACCTCTTCATATGCGAGGAGTGTGGGTGCTGCAAATGTATCCTCTGTACAGCAGCTCATTCTCTCCCCTTCTGCTGGCTGTGAAACCAGCATTGCCTTTGCTCTGCTGAGAGCCTCCTTGATTATGGCACTTGTCTCTGCTGTGGTAAGGGCCTCTTCTACCACTGCTCAACTGATGATGAAGACAACTGTGCTTATGAGCCCTGCTCCTGTGGGCCTGGCTTTTCCTTCATCCGCTGGGCAGCCATGAGCCTCATCTCGATCTTCCTACCTTGCCTGTGCTGCTACCTGCCTGCACGTGGATGCCTCCATCTGTGCCAGCAGGGCTATGATAGCCTCAGGCGACCAGGCTGCCACTGTAAGAGGCATACCAACACTGTGTGCAGAAAAATCTCTTCTGGTAATGCACCTTTCCCAATGGTCCAGGAGAAGTTTGTATGACCTTCCCAGAAAATGGATCCAGAGCTTTGTCCTTCTAGCCCCCATCAGTAAAGCTTAGGCCTCATCTTTGAAGAGGAGAGGATGGGTCATGTTGCCAAAGTTAGGGACTCACCAGTTTTGTTCCTATAGTGTCAGGGGAATGGCCAAGTACATCCTGGTGTAGGATGCCTTGTTCTTTCTCACAGTATCTATCCCACTTTGCTTAAACCTTTTACACCCTGGGCCATCTGCCCTTATGGCTGTCTTGGCAAATTCAGGTGATATATAGGCATGAGATTTGGATGCTGAGGACTGACAGAGCCATCAACATGGAGGTTTAGGGGCCCCCCAATATAATGCCTCTCGATGCAGGCTCTGCGTGTTACTCTGCTTTCCACAGCGCCTTTGGAAGCTTTCTTCTAAGATGGTTTTCACAGGTCCATGTGGAGCAGCATTCAATACTCCAGGGAATCTGACCCCTTCTCGCTCTTTACTGCTTTTCTCTTCTTTGCTCTTCTCTCTTTCTCCTCCCCTCTTCTTTCATTATTGTTTTCTGTACTCCCTCCCTCTGCATTCTGACCCTCTCTCTTCTTTAATTTTTCCTCTTTTCTTTCCCACCTCTTTCCTTTATACTCCTTCCCTTCTTCTCTTGCAGACTAATCCTTGCTCTGCTTGTATTTCTATTTTGTTTGATCTATGTCTCTCCACCTGTCTGTCTTTCTCTAACACATCCTGAAGTGCTGTTTTACAGTAGGTGTTTCCTTCTATGCCAAACTTTTCTCTGTTACACTATTTACTGATTTTTATTAAGGGAAATGGATTATTATAATGAACTGATCATTAGCAATAGTCTGTATCTTTGATGTGTGTATGAACCCATAACTACACTCCGCTATTTGTGAGCGTGTGAGGCTAAATTATCTTACATTTCCTGGTCTAATTAGTTGGAGTTGCCCTCCCTTTCCTAATAAATGTATAGTTCTGACAGATTCCACTAGCATGCTGAGTAGGATAGTAAACCAGGATGCTCATGATGTTGTATGTCTGACCCAAGTGCCAAAGGCAGATGTGCTTTGTAGCTAAGTGGACAAAGCAAAGGATATTACAGAGGTCTGTTCTGTCTTAGAGGCTAAATGCCCTGAGAATGCATGGATCCGACCTTAATAATGGACATAAAAAGTCATAAGACAATTTTAGAGCTGAAAGGAATCTTAACTGTTAATCTAGTTCAATGCCCTTATTTCGCAGATGGGAAAACTGAGGCCTGGAAATAGGAAGAGATTTGCCTAAGGCCACACACTGACAGTTGGAACTGGAATACAGGCCTTCTGACTCCTAGCTCAATATTGCCTATCCTGTGCCACATTAAGTCATGGGACTTTTCTCCTAGGACTCTATTAACAATAACAGAAAGCCATTGGCACTCAATTTTCAGGAACCATACCAAGTTAGTATGATGACTTTTATGCACTAAAATGTGGGTAGATAATTAACTATCAGGTATTGAGGCTGCCCCAGGGGATATCACCTTTGGCTCTGTCACCTTCTAGAAGCTCAAGTGTGGAAAAGAAGTACTTAAAACCCTAACCAAACTTCATCTTTGCCATTGCACCTACCCTTTGCTGTACACAGTTGTCACTCCTGGCTTTGACTGCAATAGCAGTTGCCTGAGAACTTAAATATCAACAACAGTGGAAAACTAAGATGAATGATGTATAATACAGAGCACTAACTTTTCTTTTAAAAAATAACAAGAGCCTGTGCTGTGAATCCCCTTCAATGGGAAAAGGCTGTATTGCAGAAGGTAGGCTCCTAAAGACTGCTGCTGAAAGACACAAGAATTAGATACAGGTACCGTCTGTAAGTGAATCTGAAAATCCCTAAGGAATTCAGAGATTGAGGGCATTTGCTTGAAACCATGGTGCTCCAACTTAGTTTAAGACTTCCATATTCTAACTTCATATTTCATCTCTTTTATAGTGTGCATGGATGTGTATTACAGGGTAGAGAGGTGGAGAGAAATGTATAGTCATACATGGGGGAAGAGGAAGGGAACATCTTCATCCCTTTGTTAGATATATCCTATAGAAATATGTGTCAAAGTCTTTGGCGGTTCTGAAACTTCCTGAAGTGTATAACATTTGGGCTGCACAAAGCCCCACACCTTCACTTTCACCTCCTCTTCTAGAATTTCTTTGCTCTATTTTTGTATATATAAATATGTTATGATGATTACTAATAATGTTAATAATGTGGCTGCAAATGTTGCCATATATAAGGTTCGACTTCTTGGAACATTTATGAACCCAAGCCAATACCTTTAATCTCTTATGTTGCTTTCAGAGCCTTCAATTTTAAATAACTTTTTAAAAAACTCTTATAAGTCTTCCTGAATGAACTTTGAACTTACCTACCCCTAAAAGCTGTGCCCAGTTCTCTGAGTCAACCGGATGTTGATGAGTATCAACACACCTCTCCCTGCTTCTGCCTGAAGTTTGCTTAGAGCTGAAATATATAAGGATTTTATGACACTAATGCATTGTTCCTGGAGCTAAAGTTCCTATATGGATGTTTGCTTACTAGTTTCAGGGCCCAAAATAACACAAGTCCCTCCTTCTTGATATCCCAATCCTTCAGTCCTGACTCAGGCAAATCATGCACTGCCAGAGCATACCTGGGCTCTGCCATACTCCCAGTGCAGCTCTTCTTGGTGTATTTTTACATGGCCTTACACATGGTATAAGAAACTGAAGGGTTACTCAAGTGCAGATATATCTGCAATCTGCTGCTGAGTCAGGGCTTTCACTTGTGTCCAAGTTGGCCTGATATGGACTGCATCTGGTTAATGTAGAGATGGGTCCTGTTGGGGTATGCGCTCAGACATGTGAGTGTGCATATGTACACCTGTGATCATATATATATGTGTGTGTGTATATATATGAACATATGTGCATTCATATACATGTATTGGTTTAGACATGCTTTTTGAAGACTTTGCTACTCCTCTAGCTGAATTAGAGCCTTCATTTCCATGCAGAATGAAGCCCTTCAAAACAATTCAGAAAACAGTAAGTTCTTTTACTACATGCTAAACACTATTTTAAGAATGAAGGGCTTCATTCTGCATTGGAAATGAAGGCCCTAGTTCAACTAGAGGGGTAACCAAGTCTTCAAAAAGCACATCTAAAGTAATACATGTACATGAATGCACATATGGGAAATATATTCACACCTCTATATATTTTAATGTACTGTACTTGTATATTTGAAATGTATATGAAAGAACTCTGAATCCTGCAGCAAGGCTCTACTTTCATAATTTTTCTACGTTGTTGTGTCTGTAGAAACAGGAATATTTAGAGGGTGTTTCTAGCTTAATATTTTTTTGCAGTGAAGTCATCTGTTGCTCCCTAACTCTACTGCTTTTCACATATTGGTCCCTTGATACATTTAATATAGCTTTAGCCAAGAGTTTTTCTTGGTTCCAGCCCATCTTGCCTCATTGTGATAGCTAAAATACATATAGTGAATACTTATACAGCTTTTACTATGTGCTAAACACTATTTTAAGCTCATTACCTATGTTAATTTACTTAATTTTCACAATAGCTCTATGATGTAGGTACTATTATTATTGGCACTTTACAGATCAGAAAATTGAAGCCCAGAGAGGTTAAGTGACTTGTCAAAAGTTAACAAAGCTTGTAGATGGTGAGGTTAAGATTTTAACCTAGGCTGTCTGACTCCCAAGTCCATGCTCCAGAGCCAGGTATAGAAGTCTGGAGCATAATGTAAATCTTTCTGGTGTAATAAGCCTCAAATGATGAATAGTCCTTTCCCTAACTCCAGTCTGCCTATAGCCTAAGAATTAAACAAATGTGCTTCTATGTTAGTAGTGAAGGAATAGTTAGAGATCATGTATTAGCTCTCTGACTTCTCAAGATAGTGGCACTACAAAGTTCTCCACTACTTTGAAAACATGCTTGCAGCTAGTTGCCATGTGTCAGACAGCTTATGGTGTAGAGCTAGTAGAGAAGTATTTTCACTTGTGCCAAGAAGGTAAGTTTATTTGGCTTTATCTTTATAGGCCCAGGATAACTAATTCAACTTCTTTCTGAAGAAAGTAAAACTAAAACTGTTTTTGAACTGAAGATTGGTTGGAACTGCTAACATTCAAGCTCATGTATTATATTGAGTACATTCCGACTCAAGTGTAAGCAATCCACTGATGACCATTAGTAAATACCTTTTCCCATCACTTTCTTCACACTGACAGTCCTTTACCTTGGCATTATTTCAAAACCAGGAAGACCCTTAAAGAACACCTACTCCAACATCAACATTTTATAGTTGGAGAAAAAGACACACAGAGAGGAAAATAACCTGTTCAAAGTCACACAGTTATGAGTTTGGGTGGAATTCCTAATTTCCAGATGTCTCAGTCTGAGTTTCTTAGAAAACAGAGCTTAAAGCAAAAGCTTACGTGAAATCCCAGGGAAGTAAGAGTCAGGAAAAGGAGTAGTGAGGTAGAGAAGGAAAGAGAGCAAATGTAAAGCAGTGCATCACTTGTTGGCCATAGTCTATTTCATGACAATCTAATTTCTCGGTCTCTTATGGTAGGCCATACTGCATTTTCATACAACCCATATGGAGGAGAAAAGGAGAAGAATTCATCTCCTGTCTCTCATATCATTAGTCAAATTCCTTACCCACAGGATATTAACTCCCCTGAATTTCTAACTAGTGCATGTATGGGTGCCCAAGCATGTACTTTGGCATCTCATGTCTCAGCAGCAGTGGGGTAGCATTTGGCACCACTACAGACAGCAAGACAAGTGTGTGGATAGAGGGAGGCATATGAACTTAAAGTACTCTAGGCTGGTGCTTTCCCTTATATCTTTAACTATATAGATTCAAACCAACTTAGACATAACCTACCATCTTTAAAGTTTATAAAGCTTTGTTGTGGTGCTCAGAAATGTACTCAATTTGCCTTCCTGAACCTACTGTTCTCTGACTTGTTTTGAAGGGCTTCATTCTGCATTGAAATGAAGACTCTAGGTCAACTACAGGAGTAACAACGTCTTCATAAAGCATGTCTAAACCAATACATGTACATGAATGTGCATATGTTAATTTAGGCTCAGTCATCATAACAGCAGAAAAACTGGTCAAATTAATAAAATCAGAAGAAATGACTAAACAAGTTTTTTTGCAACATAAAAATAAAATGTTGTTGGTTGATTGGGTTTTTTTTCAATTGCAGTCACTAATTATGACATCATGTAGACACATTCTATGAGCTATACTATCTTTTATTCTCATACGCAATCCTTCTCTGTGCCCTATAGACCATTCTTACATGAAGCCAAAGCATCTAGGTAATAAAATCATTCTATTGATATGGTTTCATATCTGTGGGCAAGGTCGTAAAAGCACTGAATGCATACCACTGATTTAGTACTTGACCCTTCATGCACGGCAAGATAAAAATAGGGGAATTCTGAAAAATGTTCAAGGTGAACAATATCAACAATCATGC